ATCTCCTCTAGGACATCCCTGCTCCGGTGGGCTAGAGCCCGAAGCACGGGGTCGTCCCGGACTTCGGGCTGATCCAGCCAGTAAATCACCTCATCAGTGACGTTGAGGTACTCCTCTTCAGCCATACGAGGCGTCTTTTTGTGGAGTCCGGTCATTCTGTTACAACTCGCACAGGGAAGCAGGCAAGGGAAGCCATGGATACGGACAAAGGACTTTATTACAGGCTAACACACTCAATAACAACATGTCACGTTAATGACCGGACTGGGAAAACAAACTGAAACGCGGACTGAATACATTGAACTAATGACAGCAACAGGAAACACGGGGAATCCACACGGGGTAGATGAGGGGGCGTGGCACACGGGAGGAGCGAACGAGCGGGGCATGACACTTACTGCCTCACTGCTCATTAGAGGGAATAGGATTGGCATTGCTGGTACACTTGTCACCCATCCTGTAGTGAAAAATAAAATGCTGTATCCCATGCATGTTTAACCGAAACACTGTGTGATCTGTTCCATATTTGGATTGAAAGTGGAAATCTTAATTGCTGGTGTATGGTGTGCTTTAATTTTAAGCCACAAGTCAAATTCTCCTTATATAGTGTTAATCAAAGTTTCTCACCTTCTTATTGTTTAAATTTTATATAATGATAGGATATATCATTTATATTGCCCAGCCCTATCTGCTTTGTAAATTTCAGCGACCAAGGAATTTTTTTTCTGTTCCCAGGCTCCGATCAGATTTGCGTCTGTGCGGTGGCCCATGACAGATGGAATGTCACGTCCAGCCTCGCCCTGCGTGTCCAATCCCTGTGTTTCCCTCCAAACCAGCCACACTTCAGTCTTAACCCTTGTTCCTACCCTCTTGTTAACCAGCCACAGCTGCCTTGTGTTTGCCCCTTTGTTTAGTCCTGTATATTAGTGTCACTAAGTCCTGTGCACCCAACTCAGAAGAGACTGCTGCTGCTCCACTAGCATCCAGCCCAGAGGAGGCTGCTGCTCCACTAGTGTCCGTCCCAGAAAAATCTGCTACTCCAATAGAAGCCACTCCCGCACCCAGTCCAGGTGCCTCTGCCGATAGCACCGCAATATTAGACAGAAGTATTGGCCTATTGGTTATCAACTGAATTTCCCAATGCAGAAATATGGGGATGCAAATAATTCCTTCTGTGCAATTTTTACCAGACTTAGATAACACTGTAAACACCTCCCCAGTAGTTTGTGAGACAAACTTCCCTTTCTCCAGCGGAAATAGGATTTAAGATTTATGCTGCTTTCGTTTTAAAGATAATAGATATTATTTTTCCCAGACGTATTACGTAACTCAGTCTCCCTACAACAGTATATGGACATGAAACCGAACGGTTCGTTAGTGTTGCGTTTGTGCTCGTTTGTGCCACACAAATCAGTGTTGTATCTCGTTTACTTTATAAGATATTAAAGGTTTTTTGTAAAGGTTTTTCCCACAGTTCCTGTAAATGTAACACTGCAATCAGCTATTGTGTTCTAAACTGGAAAAAGGTATACGTACATTTGATCTGAAATTCAATGTACATTGTTAATGTCTGTATGTATCTGTATTAAATGTCTAGTCTTAGTTTTAACTGTTTCAAAGTAAATGTTTGTGCTTGTAGTTTCATGGAACTTATTTGTACAGCATTTCTTCCTTGATGAACAAGAAATGCATTGCACTTTGTCGGTAAGTCAAGCATCGATGCTGACTTGGTGCTGGAGGGTTCTATGGCCGACTTTCACTCTGCCCTAATTGGTTAGGAATGGCACTTGATGTGGTGGACCCAAATGGAGTGGATGTGGGTAGGGAGAAACTGTAGAAGCTAGTTTGGAAAAGGTCCCCACTGTTAGGATCCGTGTCGGGCGAGCAAGCAGGAAGTGGGGAATTAGGAATCGAGCCGACTGAGATCCAGAATACGGGGTTTTTAATAGGGAAAGCACGAAATACACAGACCACACGGTACAAACGTCAATGACAGACCTGGGGAAACAGACTTGAACACGGAAATACAGGACGTGACCTCAGAATAAATGCAAGACAGCTGATACAATGGGAATTGACACGGGGTTAACGAGGAGGGCGTGGCACACACGAGGACTGGACGCGCAGGTCATGACACCCGCTCTGGAATATGTACTAAAAAAGGGTTTCCAAACTGCCTCTGAGGAACTGCAATTGAGCCAAATTCCTGCTTTGTGAACACAAAAAAAAGTTTATGGTTCTGGGAAAGGTTCTGGTTCTTGAAAAAAAGTTCCTTAGGTGTGAAAGTGCCTACTGATAGACTGGGAATGGATTCACACTTTCCAATTTGATGCTGGCCATTTAATTTACTTTCAGTGCATCCTGAAGTGGCATTAACAAGTGATGCCTTACCGGACCCCTGACACACAATATTGAATAAAAATGGGAAATACTGGATAGAAAAATTAATAGCAAAGAAGCCAACACAATACACAGTCATGCCCAGAAAAGCCACCAGCCTTGCTGGAAATTAGTTAGAAATGATTGTCTGAATTCTAATGATGGTGGCTCAGTGGGGAGCACTGTAGCCTCACACTGCAACTCTCACTCCCAAATGTGTGTGTGGACATCCATTTTCTCCCTGTATTTGTGCCTTTTTCCACTGCGCGATGATTTCCTAAAATGTGCAGTCACCGTGGCCCTGTACTGAGTAAGATATTATGAATGGATGGATGAATGGATAGATAAAGCAGTGATTTAACAAATGGAAAAAATATGGTCAGAATCTGCAATTTTTCATTAAAGTCAAATAAAATATTTCAAATGATTAATTCTCATAACTTCAGCAGTAACAACAATACAACTGCTAACTTTGATCCCCAGTCACTGAACAAACTGTGCTGTGCAAAGGTCTTAGGCATTTAAAGTCTATTTATCTGGGTAATAAGTGTAAGTGTAGTAAGTACAGCTTAAACATTTCATTCATGAGTTATTTTGGATAGCTTGATGAACCACTTTGGCTCCCAAACCAAAGCCATTCCACGTATTTGTTAAGTTTCACCATCAGCTCTTTTAATTAATTAACTGAAACAGATTTAAAATGTCAACGGCCACACAAAGTGCGCTAGTGTTCAAGTCAAAAACTACAATATTCTGTCAGATGGTTGCTGCGAATACTGGGGTGACTTTAGGAGAGGTTATGAAATGGTTAAGCTGATAGGCTTTATCATAATTTTACACTAACATGCAGATCATTTAAAGATCATTTTATTTGGCCGCCTAAGAACTTTGCACAGTATTGTAGAGGTTTGGTTCTGAATTTATGTATGTACCTGGCCCAAGATTTCCTCCACATTCCATTTGGAAATATGGCTTCTTATTCAAATTAATGCGCACAATTGGTCACCATACTGTACCATGATGTCACGAAAAAAAAACTCTGTATAATTTCACCATTTACATTACAGGGCGATTTGTGAAATACATATATGAAATGAATGCTCGTGTTACAAGTTAAACGTTTTATTCATAAGTTATTTTATGTTTTCAAAATATTTTAATTATAAACTGCGCAGCACGAGCCTCCGCGAACACTCCCCTCTATAGGAGGCTGCGAATAAGAAGCTGATTGCAGCCACGTGGCGATCAAACGTACAGTAGGCTACGAGCGGAACCAATGCTGAACCGAATTCGTACCAATAAACCCAATAAGCTCAACATTTTAACGATCTTCTGTTAGCCAGATTTTACATTTCAATCATGGGGGATATTACCGGGAGGGTTGCACCCCCTATTCGTCAGAGAAAAATACTATTTGAACATATTAAATTCAATAAAATAAAATGTAATTAATTATATTGTAAAGCTGTATCTGGCTTGTGTTAGTCATATATCAAACGAATGCCCGTTTTTTTCCTTATGGGAAAACTCAATTTAATAAAAATCTGTGACTGCAATGAAGAAACTAAAAATGCAAAAACTCTTGTATTTTGCTTGGTTACTTATGGTTATGGTTAGGGCTGGGTAGGGGTTACCGTTGCCATAGTTAACGTTAGCATTTTCCCCGTAGAAATGAATGAGCGGGGCCCATAAAGATATGTTTAGCCGACGTGTGTACAGTACGTGTGTGTGTGTGTGTGTGTTACAAATTGTCGGGATGAATGACTGGTGGGCCTCTCTCACTTTGCATCTCCTGGAATAAAAATTAGAGCCGCCTATGACTTAATCTGAACTTGATTTAACACTATTGCATAAAGCTGATAATGATAGTCTTCATTTGATATGTAAAAACTGAACATCTAAAAACCCCTTAGCATTAACTTATTTGTAGCCTATGTTTGACCTAACAGTGGCTCAGTAGCCTACAGTACAAAACTATAATCATAGTTCTCAATTTGTTAAAAAATAATAATAATTAATATAAAATAAACTCCGTTCTCCTAACCAACTGCCTGATAGCATCGCATGTTTTTGATCTAATAGTGTACTTTTGTTCTCATTCATTAATATGGTGACCAGATAATTCATGTCAGACGGACACTTTGAGCTAGTACAGGATCTGTAAACTTCATTTCAATCATTTCAATTAAAAGGACCTGTATTTAACTTAATCACCGAGTTCCTGCTGTGTTCTGATGGGTCAGTCTCCTGTAATCATAGGCTACATGTCACTAATGTCAATTTCACACAGCTGGAAGAGTCTTTCAATAATGGAAACACAAGAATAACTGAAATATTTACCCAAGCACAGGAACCATTAAGTTCTAAAGTAGTTTGTAAAACCTGAAGTAGCTGAGACTGTCCTCGCTGACATGGATTATCTGCTAACTCTAGGCGTTAAATAATACTAATAATCGATTTCCGTTTGATCAGTGGACATGCTCCTGGTCACCTTTCACCTAGCAGCGACTACAGTACCCATGCAGCCCTCCGCTCCGGTGGGTTCCCTTCATTTGCCCAGGGTTTCGGCTTGAGGATCCCCCTCCCTCTCTCTCTCTCTCTCTCTCTCTCCCTCTCGGCCTCTTTTTTGTCACTATTGCCCAGTGTGAACCGACGCTGACAATAGACATCCCTCCCCCTTCCTCCCTAATTTGCCGTCGTTCGCCTTGTCATCGTCTCCATTGGCTTTGACGCTGCCATTCAGGGGCTTCATTTAACTGGAGGAGTTAAGAAGGAGCAGGTCTGAAACATCTGGCATCTCAGCCACCACATTCGCATCCAGATATCATCTGAACTCGTGGTGTAAAACGCAGTGAAGTGAGATCCACTCCTTCATCGTATCTGCGTCTCTGGCGGCGGTAGCAGGGAGAAGCAGGCGCCCACTTTGTTGTGTAAGTTAACGTTACGGGGGTTTCTTCACAAAGAGCAAAGGCTGGACTTTGGGGGAAAGAGGTGGCAGGTGACATTTGAATAGTGCTGCTAAAAAGCTATGTTGTTCCTGTTTGCTTTATAGTATACTGTAAAAAGTAGGAGGTACCGCTGTGTGGAGACTGTTTTACTATCTGATTGCGGCTTTTATTGGGGTTCCCCCTTTCACTCTCACACTGCCGGGAGAGAGTGTGTGTGTATGTGTGTGTGTAAGCGGCGTGATACGGGGGCAGGATGGAGGTGCCGAGGCGCAAGCGGGAGACACGGTGATGTGACCGTTGCCCCTAAGCCCTGGGACCCGAGGACAGTATTTACCGGGGAGAACAAGTGAAATAAAAACGAACTTGTTCATTATTGTAAACCTAAGTGGCCATGCGTGAGAACAGAACATGCTTTAAGAATGATGATTCAGGATGCGAGACAAGTTGTTTATATTGGTGCAAAGGGCTGCCAAGCTTTGAAGTTAATTATGGGGGATTATAAAGATGAATTTTACAGGATCCTGTAAAATAATTGTGCTGCAACACGAAAAATAACTATCACTCTATATCTCATGTGTATGTAGTTTGAATACTTCGCAGTATTATTTCACAGTAAATTAGATTAGCTTCAAGTGCACTGATCTTTATCACTTGAAAAAGTGGGGTGATACAAATGCTTAAATATTTATGTGCAGACTGAAGCTTGTCTCGAACTAATGACACTATAAAATAAACTCGGATTGAAAAATAAATGACATTTTCTAGTTGCAGAGAAAACGTTATACTGCATATCGTAGTGTGCAAAACGTCTTTGGCAGTCAAAGAAATGTATGAACATGTTGGTGTAAAACTACATCTGTTAAAATGTGTAGGCTTAACCATTTCATAACCTGACTTAAAATAACCCCAGTATTTGCAGCAATCATCCAGTACAGCAGTGTATTTTTCGCTCAGCTAATATGGCATTTCAGTACTTCACTGACTTTTTAAAACTAATGAAATGAACAATTAATTGGTAGTGGTAAAATTTATCTAATGCATGGAATGGCTGGGGTGCCCATGAGGAGAGTTTGGGGAATTGAAGAGGTGATCATCCAACCATCCAACAAGATATCAATAAGTTTTTGGAGAACAGAAGAGATTTCCGTTAATGGTTATTGTTACCTTAATGTGCACATAATGTTAAACTGTGATCTTTGTTGTGAGCAAATACACACTTACTACTCAGATAAACAGCTTTAAACATTTTCTTTGACTACCTAAGACTTAGCTGACTGATGTTCAGCCTCACTAGTCTTACGGTTTTTCACCAGTGGTATGTAAGACTGGAGCAGTGGATGATCGTCATGTTTCACACTCTTTATTTTATTATCTAGAAGGCAGCATTACTATGTTATGGATCTTCTGTGTGTTGAAGGGGGTCTTGCGAGGGCCTCTGTTCAGTTCAGTTGTTAAACTAGTTGTTTGTTATTTAACTGGAATTACTGAGTTGTTTTTTTTTTATTAGAACTTTAAGGAAAGCTTTACAGTTAATACTTATGAAAGTTGTGTTATGCTTCAGTGAAATCTTTGGTTTTGTCTGGTATGATTGATCAATTGCCAAACAGACGTTTGTTATTCATCTCAGTCGATTCTTGCCTTTTTAGGCTAAAATTAACCATGTTGTACTGAGATGTAATGAGACTTTCCAGTATGAAATGAAATGATGATGATTGGTAGGCTTCAGAGCAGAAAAATGTTCCACGTTTCTGATTTACATAGCAGCATTTCTCAGCTGCTGTAGCAGCCAGCGATGAGAAGGTAGAGGAGCTGATACCATTGATGGGAGTCACACTTGAGGGGAAATAGTTTCATCAAGGAATTACTAACAACAAGCAAGAAAATATTCATTCAGGTATTGCCTCAAAGAATTAATCTTAGAGTTACATGGTGTATTCGCATAGTTTGCTGGTAGTTCAGAAAAACATTTTGTACAAATCTAAAAATAAATTACATTTCACATAAAAAAATCCATATCTTATGCAATGCATCACTTTTCAAATTAGGCCGTTATGATTCTTTGCAACACTTTCAAACTCCATGACCACCAGTTGACCATTGGTAAGGAAGAAACCTCCTAGTGGATGTTGTCATAAAATAGGTGATATTGTCTGCTATTTAGCTATCAAATTTGTCTTTGAAGGTTTACCTATTTAAATACCATTTGAGGGAGTCTTCCTGACGTTTAAATGAGAAACTGTATGTTAGTGTGGCCATTGGTGTCAGTTCATCTTTTGTAGCTCTTCATGTTTATGCAATTCAAGTGACAGAAGTTAAAAAAAACAATATTCACAATATGTTTTCCCCCAAAATATGGCATGTTAACATACCCTTCTCTGTTGTTTAGGCATGATTTAACATATGGAGTTAATTTTAGTATTCACATATTCTGATGTAATTTTTTTCTGCAGTTTTTCCACTTGATTTGTTTTAATTGTTTTGTAGCTTAATATTGTTAAAATTTGGGCTACTAAACTTTAAATTACAGGTCATGAAACTATTTGATGAAAATAAACGTAATTGTTTATTTGTTCGAATGAATAGTTATAAATAAATAATGAATGCAAATTAGAAATTGTGTGAATCTGAAAGGCACAAACCATTTGCCGTTATCATTTTCCCCTATAAGTTAAAACAGAAAGTTCGTCCGCCCCCCCGCCTGTGGGGGCGACACAGCAGTGTTCGAGAGCATCTCTCCCGTCTTTGTTAAAGGCCGACACGTAGAGGGGCAGCATATGGCGGTAAAAGGGGCACAGCTGGGCACGGCGTCTCCAGCCCAACATCATGTCAGAGTGGCTGACAGCCCGCTGCCCCCCCCAGGTGCCCGGGCCCCAGGACGGGCAGCCTGTCATATTCCCACCCTGCACTCTGAATGTGTCAGGCGCTTTGCATCTCTGTCTACGCATGCTTTCTTGGGCCTTCAGTGAAGGAGGCGTGTGGTTTTATACACGCTGCAGGTACAGGCCCCCAGCTTTGGAGGGGGGGGGGGGGGTTCCACATAAGGACCAGGTGTCTGCTGTGTGTCAGTCATTCAGATTTGTAAGAGTGGGTTAGTAGCTGAATCTCCTAGATTAAGGGCATTTAGATTTTTGTCTAACAATGGACAGAATAAATAACTTCTCAAAGGGATTTTCAGCTATCAGAATCACATCTTCAGAACATGTAACTGAGAATCGGAGTGAATAGAGGTGTTTTTTGTTTTTTTGCCCCTAGTTTAACCGTGCAGGAGGGACCTTCCCCCACCAGACAGTGGTGGCTAATTTAGGACTTGAGCTCCTTGAATTGGACAGACAGCTGTAATCGCACCCTTCTTAGTCCTAATCTCTTTATCTGGGCTGCAGCTGCCATATGGCCCCAGTCAGCTGGATCAGACGTTCAGAAGCCCCCCCCCCCCATCTTCGACACTCAGTCCTCGCAGCCTCCTGCTTTTGGGAGTCGCTCGTCTTTATTTTTAGCTGTCTTTGGAATCGGGATGGACGTGGGCCGGCAAGCGTTTGCGGCGATCGCGGCGTATCGTGACACTGCTGTGTGTCGGGCCTTTGGGGGGGGGGGGGCGCTCCTGTGAAAGGTGCGCTCTGGGGGGGCCTAGCTGCCAGCTTGCCGGGGGTTTATTAGCCACGAGCAGCAGATCTGTTAAGCTGTACGATTTCTCAGTACGGCCAATGAATAATGACAGAAAGTGAAGCAGCTGTGACACAGGTCACCTGGAAGCCATGCATTGCTTACATTTCTGTGCTTTACACAGTAGCTTCTCCAGCTGTTATTTACACGTGATTTATCAAGTGTGCAGGGTTTTTTAAAAAAAAAAAACTTTTTTAAAGTTGCCACGTCGACTTACTGTACTACACCACTGCAAACTTTCTGATGATTTATTTTAGTCATTCTGAAATAAAATGTATCTCCATATTTAAAATGTATCATATTAAAAAAGAATTGCTTGATGGCAATGTACTAGCCAAATAAGTTTTATTGTTTTAAATAATAATAAAAAAAAATGCTCTCTATGCTTCTATTGAAAGTGGGGATTGATCAGCTGTGCTGGTTCCCAGCCCCGGGGTGACTCGTTAACGGGCCGTGAATGGACCCTTTTTAGTGGCTTCATCGCCTGTCTTTTGCAGGGTATGAAGACAGCATGGAGTTTCCAGACCACAGCAGACATTTACTTCACTGTCTGAGCCAGCAAAGGCATCAGGGCTTCCTCTGTGACTCTACCGTGCTGGTGGGTAACGCCGAGTTCAGGGCGCACCGTGCCGTTCTGGCCTCCTGCAGCATGTACTTCCATCTCTTCTACAAAGACCATCTGGACAAAAGGGGCACTGTTCACTTGAACAGTGACATCGTCACGGCGCCGGCGTTTGCACTGCTGCTGGAGTTCATGTACGAGGGGAAGCTGCGCTTGCGGGCACTGCCAGTGGAGGACGTGCTGGCCGCCGCCAGCTACCTCCACATGTACGACATCGTCAAGGTCTGCAAGAAGCGGCTGAAGTGGAAAGGGACAACTGTCCTGACGGGCCACGCCTCCAGCTGCTCAGATAGAGAGAGCCTCTCGGACGGCAGTGTGGGCTGCCCTGCCACCGGAGACCTGCCCAGCGACGAGGAGATGGACATGAAACCGCAGTCCATGCCTCGGGCTTGCAGTGCGTGGATGCATCTCACCTTGGATGGGAGGGGATCCCCTCCTGTTAACGGCAGTGATGTAACAGCCCCGAGCTATGAGGTCAGGACCGAGAAGGCAGGGATAGAGGGCACCGGCTTCACATGCGAGATGTCTGTCACCTCAAAAGCTTCTACAGATGCAGCATGTGTGCTCGACTTGTCTGTAAAGTCCTGCATGCGCATTGGGGCTGGTGAGGCCTTGGGCCATAATTCCGACATCTGTGGTTTGATGACAACACGCTCTGAGTCGGACCAGGTCCAGGTTAAGGTGGAGAACGACGCAGGCGCTGAGGACAGCAGTCTGGCCAACAGGGACTGTGTGATGGAGGGTGGCTTGAGGGATGCGGCTGCAAACAGCAGTAGCTGTGCAGATGAGCAGCTAGTAAGTTACGGGGTAAGTCTGCCTGCCAGGCAGGAATCCCTGCAATATGGGGACAAGGCTGACTTAGATGGTGCCATCGTCAGTCTCAGCAGTGAGCCAACGCAGACGGAGCTCGCCAGCTTCGGCAGGTCGCTGTTGCCCTATGTTGCCAGCATGCTCTGCGATCCCCAGAGCCAGATCTTCGTATGCCCCTTGTGCAACAAGGTGTTCCCCAGCCCCTCGCTCCTGCAAGTCCATCTCAGCACCCATTTCCGTGAGCAGGAGAGCCCCCGGGCCAAGCCTGACGGTCACGTCAATGTGCCGACCTGCTCCGTCTGCGGCAAGACTTTCTCCTGTATGTACACGCTGAAGCGGCATGAGCGCACGCACTCCGGCGAGAAGCCCTACACCTGCGGCGCGTGCGGCAAGAGCTTCCAGTACTCGCACAACCTGACCCGGCACGCCGTGGTGCACACGCGCGAGAAGCCGCACGCCTGCAAGTGGTGCGAGCGCCGCTTCACGCAGTCCGGCGACCTCTACCGACACATCCGCAAGTTCCACTGCGAGCTGGTGAGCTCAGTGTCACTCAGGAGCGAGGTGCCGCGCTCGCCGGGTGTCAGAGAGTGGCGACTGGAGGGCGCCTCCCCAGAGCTGCGGAAGTGACCAATCGCACACCTCGGGTTTCATTCAGGAGTGACATTTATTTCAACGTGTGACGAGAAGCATCAGGGCTGTCCGAACCTTTTAAATAACTGCTGCAATTAATACCTCAGACACCAAGTGAGGCTACTTAGCATTCAAATAACGAATTCAGTAAAGCAGTGCAGAGCTGAGGGAGGGAACACCAGGTAGCTGTGCTATAAGGTTTATCATTTTTCTTGTACTCCTGCAGCAGACTTGCTAAACTGCACTTTAGAGGGAAATGCATTCTACTGCTAACTTATTCCTTTACACTTTATTAATAACAGGTGTGATGTAACCCCCTTCTTGAGAAAGACACAAATGGTGTGTCAGTGAAAGGGAAATGTGACTGTAATTTTTTTTTACAATCCCGCTATTCCTATTACTGTGTGCAGGTTATCTAATGACACTGGATTCAGCTGCAGATATAAAGTTTAACAAAAAAAAAAACTTGTTTAGAAACACAGAGCTGTGAACATACATATGCCCATATAGGGTATGTAGCTGTGTGTTTGATGTGTGCTGCAAAAGTATTATTTATTGAAGGTGTTATTTATTCTCTTGTTTTTTGTTTTTTTTATTTTTGAAATTGAACTTTTGCTCATGAATGTCAGACTTATGCAATTTATAGTATTATCTATATCCTTAACACAGTAATAATGCTTTTTATTAATTTATTTTCCTTTCACCATTCTAATGAACATTTAACAGCCGCGTGACATATTCTTATAAGGGTGAAATAATTTCAGCAATGCTAAGTCTTTGATGACTATTTCAGGGATAATTTTTGATCAGTTTTTTGTCACTTGTTCAAATTCCTTCCTGTATCTTATATTTGTACCGTTGTGTTAAACTTTAAAAGGTAATGCATTAGATGATCATAAGTTACTAGTCACTGACCAATAAGTCAGAAGTTTAGCATTTTTTCTTTGGATTTTTTTTCTAATTGTGACAGTATATCTTATACATTCATACTCTAGTGTTGACTATTTCAGTTTGAGTTTTTGTCTGAAGTTTACAGCAGGACATCATAAAAGAATGCTTTTATTGTGAGTTCTATTTAATCCTCATATTGTTATAAAATTCAACAGGGAAAATGTAAAATATTCCCACAAATATATTTGGCACTTGCTACATTTCTGTAAAATTGAGCTCTCTCTGAAATTCTCATCCCTTATTGACTGGAAATGCTATTTAATGGCCAGTGGCTCCTGTCTCTGCAAATAAATTTGCAGATGCATAATATATTCTAAAAATATGAAAGAATTGTTGTCTGAAAATATTGTAATGGGTAATATCTGATATGGATAATGCAGCTACTGGGCTCCTGTGTGGCACAAAGCGACACAGGGCTGTCCTGCTCTTGCTGCTAATGCATGTCACAGTTTGGGGTTTTCATCTGTTCATTTCCAATAAAGGAACTTTAAAAATACCAGAACGTGGCTTTTCCACGATGGAACTACATCTGTCACAGATCTGTTGCACAGTAGCAACTTTCTCTTGTTTGCACTCTGATGCTCTTCTAATTTGTATACAAATACACAGTATAATGAGAAAACTGGTTTGAATTGTAAGTTTTTTTTTTCTTAATTGCTTTACTGTTTTACAGTGCATTGCAGTTGAGAATGATGGTCATGGCCATTTTAAATGTAAATAAAGCAGTAAGAAAAGCCCTCTCGTGCATTTCTGTTTCTTTGACATGAAAATTTGCATTTCAATAAAAAGCAGAAAATAAACCAGAATAGACATGAAGAATAATGTATCATTAAACATCCCTTAAGAAACCAGGATTATATTGGTTTTTATTGAGTCAGACATTGTTCATTGTCCTGTGAATTTAGAAATTTTAGCTTTGACAATCATTCATATTTGTAAATTTTTTTCCTCCCTTTGATATATCTTTGTTTCCGGTTGTGTGTTAACACAAAGAGCCTAATGATTTAGCTCTATTACACAATGACAGCTTTTAGTGTATGTTAGTAAAACATTTTTGAGTGTTGTGAGGAACTTGAATCAATGCAAAATTTGAAAACTGTCATGCCCCGATCTTGCTGGTCCTCTTGTGTGCCACACCCCCTCGTCTACCTTGTGTGGAATCCCTGTGTTACCAGCTGTTTTGAGTCATGTTGATTGCTGTTGTCTATTTAAGTCCATGTTAGGGTATGTTTCCCGAGTCTGGTCATTGGCGTCAGTTTTATGTGCTACTCCATATTCCTGCTTGTGTTCTACCCGAATAAATGCCTCGTTTCCCCGACTCCCTGGATTCCTGCTCCTCCTTCGACCCTGTGACAGAAAACTATAAAATTGAATAAATATGTTCTCAATCCTTAACACTCCATGTGGTGTTTACGTATTTAATTGCAGTCATTATTATTTTCAGCTGATGCCTTCTTATTATGACAATAATCATTTATTATGATTATGATAGACGAAGAAGTACACACTGCAATGGTGAAATGGAGTTTTTGTGGAGTATGTCTGGAGCACATTGGATGATAGCAGCAGCCAGGGGTGTGATGATCGGGGGGGCAGTCACCCAGGCAGCCAAAGTGGACGACTTTCACAGTCCAAGTGCGGAGTACTTTGCAGTCCATGGTGTGAAGGTTCCTCAGATTTGGTAGTGTTACCAATCTGCGCTGATCCGTTGCCAAGTCACATAGCAGTAGATGACGAAAATGATTGGTTTAGCAAGACTACACTGGAAAAGCAATAGTTCTAAGAACAAGGTATTTTAAAATCTTACCAACAGGGACTGAGGTACCAATGGCTTGAAAGAACACTATCTCCTAGATGTGTCAAGAAATGCTTCATTGTCGTTCCACAAATATGGTTTTACAGGCTGATCACTGAGGTTCGTGTTATTCACAAGGAGCACCGATACCCATTTACAGGTACATTCTCTTTCTAATGGTCCGGGATAACAGCCACTGTGATTGTGTTGTCACTGTCACTGACTGTCGGTCAGGGCCGTGTCATCCCGTGCTGATTTAGGTCACCTGTCCTCTGTCTGAGGGGGACCCAGGAGACACAGACAGCCTGAGCCTGGGCTCTGAAAGCGGAGAAGAAGAAGCTAGTGAGGAGAAGCACTGCGGGGTTGCCTGATGTTCACACAGGAGGGAGGGAAGTCTGAGATGGCCAAAGGCGAGTGAGGCTGTCACTCCAGGTGCAGTCACAGGGCGCACCAACCTGACGAAAAAGAGGATAAAATGTCCCCACAATGTGATAAAAACCTGTCATTTTGACATTGTGGGGACAGCAATGGGAAGCTCAATCTGTGACTGCAATCAAAAAGCTGAAAATAAAAAAACTAAAAATCAAAAAAAGTCTTGTATTTTGTTTGCTTACTAATGGTTAAGGATTAGGCTGGGTAGGGGTTAAGGTTGTCATTGTTGGGATTTGGGTTTTTCCCCATAGAAATGAATGGACCATCCCCACAAAGATATGAGAACAATGTGTGTGTGTGGGTACTGTATGTGTGCGTGTACGCATATAATGCCAGAAATAAGATGAAATATGCTGTACAGAACTTACTTTCAGCCACCGAAGCTTGATAAATCCAAATATTTTCTTGTGATACTTTGAGGTACTTTTAGCAGGCAACAAGGACATGACATTTTTGTTATTTTAATTTATTTGATGTTGTTTTGCTTTGCTGTTTTCTGTAGTATTACTATTTTAAATTCTATTTACATCCTAGTAGTGAACAGAATATATGTTTTGTGCATTTAGTCATAAATATGGTAAGAGTGTATGCAAATCTGCTGGTCATTTTTACAATATAATTGGATGTCTCCTTGAAAGGGAGAAGGTACTACCTACAATATTTTGTATTGTTTATAACAAACATGAGTAAAACAAAAGATCATTCGGATATCATATGCAGTGTTAAATTGTGGATAGTACAGTATAATCAGTGGTGCATTCTGGGTTCAATGAGTCATGTAACAAAGTAGTAAAATGGTTTGTAAAGAACTTCTAGTCGACAAGTTTCATTCATATTTAATTCTTGATTTAGAAACAACAAAGGTTCTCCACTTATGTATCACATATATATTATATTAATGCTTGTACAACTGGTACTGTATTGATAAAGAACATGGAAGGTTGTTGGTTCAAATTCCAGAAGGGAACTTGCTGTAGTATCAATGAGAAAGCTGCCTAACCTGGTTTGTGAAAGTCTCTGTTCTTGTCAATGGGTGAACTGTAAATGATTTTGGGTATTAATATCATATCACACTTTAAAATTAATGCAAGATTATGAGTGACATAATGAGAAAGAATATATTTATAAATTTCATGAACGTAATAAATGTTGCATTTATCCTAATGCTTGTTTTCCACATTATGCCATTAATATACACAGAAATGTAGAACAATAAAACATAGTTGTTTCTGATATCCATTTTGAACCTTAATTTCTGTTGTTCGGCCATTATTCGGCTGTATTTCAGCATAATATTAATCGTTAAAGCATTGATTATTATCCCCATATTTTTATAATGACAAGATATAAGTGACATAATTGTAAGAATAATTTGTGTTGTCAATGTATTCATGTACCACAAATAGGTCACATCCCTTTGGCAGTGGCCTTTAAGAAAAAGGTTTTACTTAATGTCCCCACAATGTGATATAAGCCTATTATTTTGATGTTTTGGGTGCCATTTTTTTCCGTCCCCACAAGGGCAAATTGAATTAAAAAAAAATAATAATAAATTCTGTGACTGCAATCAGAAAACTAAAAATGCTGAAAGTCTTGTATTTTGTTTGGTTACTTATGGTTAAGGTTAGGGCTGGGTAGGGGTTAAGGTTGTCATTGTTGGGATTAGGGTTTTTCCCATAGAAATGAATAGATGAGTCCCTACAAAGGGAGAATGATGTGTATGTGTGTGTGTGTGTGTGTGTGTATGTGTGTGAGCGGGTATACCTTACCTTATGGGGACACAATGTGATGAATACTCATTTTTTCCCCCGTATGTGGACCAGTTTCCAGGTCCCCATATGGGAAAACTCAATTTAATAAAAATTTGTGACTGAAATGAAAAAATTAAAAATGCATTAACTCTTGTATTTTGCTTGGTCACTTATGGTTACTGTATGTGAATGAGCAGTCCCCATAAAGATAGGTTTACCCAACATGTGTGCATGTGTGTGTGTGTGTGTCAAAAATGCACATGCTTTAATCACTGCTGTATTAATAACCCCAATTACTAATATAATTACCACAGTAATTCATATTAGCAGGTAAACGCGCTGAATTCACAAAATTGTGTGTTTTCCTAGGTATTAGGTGATATACATGCATATGCATGGATGAATGAAATGTTCACTGTGAGCATAACAGTCGGCTTAGTGAGATACTGAAGGTCACTAGTGGAGACACCAGTGTCCAAAGGGATCCATATCCAAAGTGGAGGACCAGAGGAGGGGAAGACATCAGGGAGATGGAATGGAAATACCCCTGGTTCATAAGAACCTGTTTAATTCCTGAGATAGAAAGGCCATTGGCCACATCAGAGTGATCGCTGAACCAGTAACGCTTTATAGCTGCACAGTTATCCTCAGATTCCAAACGACAGTGCTGAATGTAGTAGTAGCCTAAAAGGACTGTCTACACTTTGTACAGTACTATATGTAACAAAGCACAAATATGAATAAATAAACAAACAAAATAATACAAAAAAACAGATTTGGGCAGTGACTGTATTCACAGCTTTATTTAATAGACAAGAATTCTACATCTGAATAACTCACCCCTACTGTATCACTGCTGCTTTTGCATCCAGATGTTAACTATATTTTATATTGCCTGTAAATTGTGCAAGACTTCCATCCATCCATTATTGTAACCACTTGTTCTCTGCTGGGGTCACAGAGCCTATCCCAGGAACAACAGGCACAGGTGGGAACCAACCCTGGGCTGGTGCCAACACACCACAGGGCACACACACTCACACAACTACAGGGCCAATTTAGACACACCAATCAACTGATCCTGCACACTTTTGGGCCATGGGAGGAAACCAGAGCCCCCAGTGAAAACCCACACAAACACGGGGAGAGCATGTGAACTCCACACAGAAAAGACCCGGGACCTTCTCACTGCAAGGCAGTGGCACTAACCACTGCACTACCATGCTGCCCATTGTGCAGTGCTTATTGCTTGGATTTTGTACTATTACACCACTGATATTCTTATATTTTTATTTTACTTGTTCTGTGTACATACAGTACTGTGCAAAAGTCTTAGGCAGTCAAAGGAAATGGTTAAAGCTATTTTATCTGGGAACAAAGTGTATATTTTCTCAGAACGAAAAACACCATTTAATAATAGAATATGTGCAAATTATGAAGAAAGCAATAAAAACTAACAGAAATTTCTTATATTCTCCAAAAAGTTATTGATGTCTTGTTGGATGGTTAGATGAACACCACTGTGGATCCTAAACCTCTCCTCAGGGCCACCTCAGCCGTTCCATGTATTTGTTAAATTTCACCACCAGCTCACTTAACTCATTAATGAAACTAGTTTTAACAAGTCACTAAGATATTGACTAGCCATATGAGGTGTGCTAGTGGTCAATTACTGTATGTTGAAGTTTTCAGTATTTTCAATTCAATTTATTTTTATATAGTGCCTTTCACAACAGAGTTGTCCCAAAACCCTTTACATGAATATGTTGTGATACATAAAACATCATTAGAGAGACATACGGAATGGGAAGAAGGAAGGAAAGAAATTAAATAAAGAAAGCCAGAAGACAACAGAGAAGAGGAACCAAAAACTCCCAAGTAAGGACAAATAAAACCTTTGGGGGCCCAAGATCAACTGGCTGCCCGACCCCCCCCTGGGCATAATAGCATTACTGAAAACAGAAAAGA